TGGCCAGAATTCGACTAGGATTGCCTCCAATGCTTGGCACTTTTGTAGAGGCTGAAGCTGTTTCCCGGTTTGACTCACGGGCATTTACGAGTGTCAGAGTCCAGAAGGATTCTTGTTCTAAGATTGGGCTTGTTTACCGTGTAGCATTTTGATGATCTTTTCGTATATTCTTGGACCTTGTTTTCGAGACATGGACATCAAGGCCTGGAGAGATCACCTGTCCATGGGTCTGGGCTGGGAGTTCTCCCCGCTCTCTGCCCAGTGCTGCCTGAGGAGGGAGAGTGGGCAGGGAGGCCTGCACATCCCTATTCTGATTGATTATTAACTATTGATCTCAGACAAGTGATTCTAGTTCATGCTATGGAAGGTGTGGATTACACAGAAAGTGGAATGAGGACATGTTCGTGGGTCCTTAAAATAATCTTCCTTGTCAACATTGAGTTGTCTTGCTTACCATAAATATCTCTTCTGTGGAGCAAACAGGGCCAGGCGGCCCATTCCAACCTATTCTGCCCCCAGCTGAGCACAAACTCCCTCTTCTCTGTCACCTTCTAAAAGTCGAATAAAAGGAGCTTCCTCCCTTAGAGGCTGGGCCTTTGGGCCTGGCAGTCCCCCACTCTGATTGCTCCAGGGATGTCCCATTTTCTCTCCTGTCCACAGAGGGTTGAATATGTCAAATAGCTATTCATGGAGGCCCCAGCAAAGATACTCCCAAATACTTCAATGTAGGGTGGATCAGACTAGACACATACGTGGTCCCATAAGGCAGAATGTTTGCTGGACGAGGAGCAGGAGGTGTGAGTAGGTTGTGGATATAGCCTAGATATGGTCTGGCTATAGCATAGCTGAGGAAAGATGGGTCCCCATTAGACACAGAGATTAGTGGAGAGTCAGGCTCCATCAGTTAGTAGACTCTAGCTCACCAGCCCCTGACCCTCAGGGCTGATGGTTCGGTTGACCAGTGTACTCTGCTCCTACCCTCTTCTCTCCACGTACTTGCTCTCTTAAGCTATCTTTTTGGTAGTTAGCAGAAATGAGTCACATATTTTTGTCTGCTTGTGTGTTGGTTGGTTTTTCATCCCTCTTCCTTCTGACCAAAATGTCATTCATTCCCACCCACCCATCTGCCTTACTAGGTCATTTGGTCTTTAACTGGTTCCCGTCTCTTCATTTCTTTTCTCTAGCTGATGATACATATATTGGTTATTTATGAATCTATACTCTGAAATTTCTTCTTTAGAGAGCTTCATGGTTCTAAACTGAATATAGATGTGATACTGCTCAATACAGAAGGGTGGAGTAGGATGCATTTAGAGAACCTAGGAGATGGAAGGGAAAACTTGGAACCCAGGGGCATGGTCTTAGATAGGAGAAGTCTCCCCTCATCCCCCGTTCGCCTTTGGAGGGGAATTCTGATAATGAGATTCAAGGGCTCTGTGGCACGATATGGGGGGCTCTTTGCTATTGAAGTGTACCTGCAGCATCCTACAGCCACGAGAGCAGTGCAAGGAGGCCCTGGGGTGAATGGTCCCTCACAGAAAGCTGAGTGGAGACAATTGTTACTCTACTTACCAGGCTTCTTACTGACCCCAGTAGGTGGATGTACTCTTCTTCCTGAGGAGTAAACTAAGTTGGATCCCATTTCTTCTTGGATTCAGACATAATCATAACTATTTAAAAGAATATTTTTCCCCTTAGTCCAAGAGTCCACTCTAGCCTTTCGATTTGTCGTAGGTGGTAGTGTATGTGAGGTGGGGGTAGAGGAGGGTGTTGTATGTTTCAAATAAGCCATACTTTTAGAGAAATGGAAAAAATGGCAGGTGCAATTTCAATTAAATTTTTGTTGCTTTTGGAATATATCAATAGCAAATATTTGTTCTTTGTCAGCAGTGGGCTGTATGCTGTACAAAAAGGGGGTCAGGCAAGGTACAGATCAGCAAAGAATAATTAAAGCTACAATGGGGCTGACTTTTAGTAAGCAATTTCCATTGGCCAGGCCCCATGCAAAGGACATTATACGCATTACCCAGTTTAATCCTAGAAACCCCGTGAGTTAAGTATCATCATGCCCAGAGAGGTTATGAACTTGCCCAGTGTCACACAGCTAGTAAGTGGTAGAACCCTGGATCTGAACTCAGGTCTGTCTGACTCCAAAGCCCTCACCCTAATCACTGTGAAAACTCCTCTTGCACAAACTTGGTACCAAGCAAGAGAGGTTCTCGTATTTCCAAGGATGTCAAAGCAGCAAGAAAGCCCCTTAAAGTGTCAGTCAGAACTCGTCGCCAGAAACCAGATAGTGTTGAGACTGTTGATAATTTGCAGTAGTGTTTTATACGTTAAAGACTGTAGTTTTCAAGTGTCCAGGTTGCCTCAGAGGCCAGCACATCTATTGGCTTCTGCCCGAGTCGTGATTATTTGCCATCGCTACTATTTGGAGATGTTTCCATTCTGTCATTTTGCTGTACTCAGATTTAGAAAAACACAAGTCAGTAAGATGGTGTGATTAGCAACTCCCCGAGTTCAGTTGCTTGTACCTTCAGTGATACGGATTTCGGAGGCATAATGAAATGGAGAGGATTATTAGCAAAACCACTTAGGAGTTTATTCTCTTGCCGTTGGGGAGTGAAAATGTTTTCTTTTCCATCTACTTTTCCATTGGGAGTGGAACTGAAAATGGTTATCTTTTGAGGTGCATGTGTAGAGTAGTATGGTTTTAGACTGTGAAGGGAATCATTTTAGTAGTTATGTGCAACAAAACCATATCTCAGTACAAGTTTCCACTATAGGACCCATGAAATAATAAAAGTGAGAAACAGTGGTCTGAATATTTTAGCAAGTGCCTTATCTTTTAACATACAAGTTTCTAAAGAAGACATACAGTGCCTTTACATCTTTATCTTTTCCTCTGTATATGATGACATGCTTTGCAAGGTAGGTATTCAATAAATTTTTATCTTATTACACTTAGTATATCATTAGAGCGCTATTTATTATCACCAAGCCATCTTTTGGAAGAACCCCTTTAAAAATAGAACTTACATATTTAGATCTCTCAGAAGTTCCTCATTGTTCTTTTTACTGGGACAGGCAGATTTCACTGGTAGGTAAAGCACATGGTATTTTCAGACCAATGTTAGGATCTTATTGGTCTTGCTTAAATGATTGCTATCTTTTCTTACTGAGAATTTTACACAAATTATTTTAATTACATAAAACTTAGAACCCATATTGGTAGAAATGATCAAGTACTGAAGTGTATCCTGATGTAGAAAATTGTGATGGAGTGTTTTAGGCAATATACTAACTCACTCATCTATACAGCATCATTTCATTCTGAAGGAAATAATGACAACAGTGGCTTCTATTACTGAATATTACTCTGTGACAGACACTATATTAAGTACCTTACATGGATTATCTCATTTAATTCTCAAAACAATTCTATAAGATAGATGTTTTTTTTACCTATGAACAAACATAGCTCCAAGGTTTAAACCTTTTCCAAGATTCACAGGGCCAGAGTCGGCATTTGAACCCAGTTTTAATGAACTCCAAAGCCCATATCCTATATTATAAAGATACAAATTATCACAATCCCTAATTCATGCTCCCGAATATGAATATTTGTTTCTTATAAGAGCAGACTGTTATTTGACCATTTCCAGCCATTTTAATTGAAGACATATCATATGTGGTTCTTACCAGTCCAAATGAAAAGTAGCAACATAAAAGAGTATGAGCGATAGGATTAGCAAGTTCTCAGTGGGATGCTGCAATAGCTGAGCTTCGCTGTAAAGTAGTGGAGACCCATGAGCCTAGCTGACACACAAAGACCTTGGGGAGCTTGTCTTTACTAATAGAGGCCTTCGTTTCTTCACTTGACCTTGCCTTCATGCTCCTGTCTCAGCCCTCAATTAAGCTGCCATTGGCATAGGATTTATAACGTGTCACTGGCCATTCAAGAGACAGCAGCAGAGGTGTGGCTGAAAAGCTGAACAATAAAGAATGGAATTGATTTTCATTTCTGTTCAAATCAGGAAGATAACAAAACCGTAACTGACCCTGGGACAGAACAAGACAGCCCAGCTAGGTGCAAATTTCAGGGACTAAATGCCTAGTAACCTTTGCAGAAGGTCCATTTTCTCTGACAGACCAAGATGCTCATGGTTTCTTTCTGTCAAAACCTTTGGAAACGATCAGTTATTTGGTGATGTCGAACTTTTCCAGGAGAGAATCTGTATCTCATTTTTCCTGTTTGTTTCTAAACAATAGAGTAAATTTTATAAGTGAGAATTTTTAAGGAAAAAACAGGTTTTCTTTATTTTTTTAACTGAACCAAATGTAAAAATATAGCATGGCCATGGACCACATGAATGAAGTAATTTTAGAGTCTTTTCTAGGAATTTTGAATGTTATGAACTATATTTTGCATGGGTAGGATGATATTAGTTTGTGTTTTAAATAAATAGTGAGACTGGACTTCTTTTGTTAGACTATAATTAATTCAAAAGAATAGTGTTCTTCCTTTAGGGATGAGTCTTATTTTTAATTTCATAAATTTGGAAATAAAACTCTGACTTTTGATTTAACAAGGGAAGAAGCCACAGGTACCCTAATTTTAAATTATTGCTTTTATTCAGCACTAGTAACTAGGGTTGTGGATATAATCTTAAAAATGAAAGTTTAATAAAATGTGTACGCTGGTGTATTAGTCTTCTGGTTGGCCTTCTATCATTCAGTCCCAACTTCCTCAGCATTGAGGAAGAATTGATTATGGGATATGCTCTGAAAGACAGCCATTTCCTGTGTTGTGAATGACCTGTGGCTTTGCCAGACACACTGGCCTGCAGATAAAACTGATGAAAGTCAGCAAGGGGGTTTTCCTACCTGTGTACTTATCAGTCTCCCCCAAGCCACAGTCTGCCTTTTGAGAGCTCTGATAATTAATTTGGTCTTCTCTCTTCTCCCTTTTCCCCCACCTTCTCCCTGTCTGTTCACAGGTTATCTTGACGAATCAAATTACAACCCATCTGAGTGGAGCCCTAGCTTCTCAGGCAGACCTGGTGTCTCCAGCTGATGACTTGTCCTTGTCTGAAGGTAAGGGATCTGTCCTAGAGGGGCTGAAACTTGACACTGACCTCCAGCCCCACAACCTCTCTGCTCCTGGGAGAGCCCAGAGATCAGCTCACAGGCCCTGGCCAGTGAACCCAGCCAGAGCCCGGCGATGTAGGCTTGGCCACCTCTCCTGGCATCTGATTCCTTATATTTGGAGAGTCTCTTGCTCTGTTACTGTAAGTGAGCTTCCTTTTCCACCCGAGTGAGTCATCTTAATGGATGGGCCTCCATCACCTCCACCTTGAGGCCGGTCACTCCTCTGTCGTAGCTTTGGGTCCTTGGTGTGAGGGCTGGTGACCTACTAACTGACTGTTTTTTGAGACTGATGCTGAAAGGTTGGCTTTACCAGTGGTCCCGCAGCAATTTAGCCTTTTCTCATGCTGCGTACTTTTAGTCCTGGTAAAAGCAAACACCAATGTGATGTGCTGGGGATGTGGCATTCCCTGTCAGCTTTACAGAAAGATTGAGAGAAATGCTTCATGCTGGTAAATCTGCAAAATTTTCTCCACCTTCCCATGCTAGCAAAGGTCAGGCCAGCTACAGTTTACATAGCGAGGGGAATCACACCTCTGAGCCAGTGGGTGGTTTCTAGTTTTAGTCAAAGCTCTTACTTGACATTTCTGAGTTCTGCTAGTTGTACTCTTTCAGGGCAGAATGCTGTGGGCCTGTGTGTATGTGCGTAGCTGTCCCAGGCCCCTCTGCATTTTCCTTTTTCTGAGAATTATTCGTGATGGACTATGTGGGACTTCCAGGCCTCACAAGGCTCCCGACTGCCCAGGTGATCTTCCATGGATTGGCCTCAGGTTATGGTCCCCCAAATACAAGGACTATACCCCTGCTTCTCAGTGGTGTTTTTCAGAGTGAAAACTAATTATTTATTTAAAGCAGTAGTAAAATGAACTCGGTACCCTGCTTCCACATCAGTGATGCATTATCGCACCCCCATCACCTAGACTTAGAAGCCTGAATCATTTTATAACGTTCCCCCCTTATATTCTTTTCACCATCAAGTCCATGTAGTTCTTCCTTCCAAATATATCTCTCCCATTCCTTCTTTTTTTACAATTTGAATTGTGATCAGCTGACTCATTCAACTTATAATTGGATTATTTTAATAAAATTCCAATATGTCTTTCCAGCTGCAAACTGCCATTTCCATTCTGCCGCTATCAAGTGGAACTTACTGCTTGGGCTGTGTTTTCTTTGTCACTTTCCTACTGAGAAATCTATGTTTTGAGAATGGGCTAAAATCAATATGCTGATTTTGAAATATTCAGGACTTTGTGATTTGTCATCTGAAAGTCGGCCAGAGTGGAAGTATTACACCATGGAAATCAGCAACTGCTAAAAATCAGGTTATTTTTCTTTTCTTTTGCATGAATCTGTTTCCAAAACACCACGAGATAAAGTCAGTACTTCTTAACACTTCGCAGTCTGGTCTCTCCTTCCTGTTCATCCTGCACTGACATTTCCTTGGCTCCTATGCCAAGCGTGTGGACTTACTGCTCACTGCTCCCCCCCTCCCCCCCTCCCCCCGGGCCTCTGCTGGGACAGCCCACCAATCTGATCTTGAACAACATTTCCCTTTTTCACTTCTACCTCTGCTTCTCTTCCCAGATCCTCCCCCTCCTTCAAGGGTTACAGACCACCTCTTCCACAAAACCTCCTGTCTGTCCCAGTAGGCATGGCTCTCACTCTCTGTTCCTCCTCTGTGGTCCCTCTACCTGCTCCGCTATATAAAGAAAAGGTCTAGAAAATTTAATTTATTTTTTCATGGTTTCCCAACTAGATTGGCAGATATTTTAAGGACACAGACTATCTTGTATTCTTTTTGTCTCCATGCTGTACCTGAGTGACTAGCAAAGTTCTAGGCACATTTAGGCAGTAAGTAAATGCTGAATGAATACCCCAGTTAATACTTTGTAAAAATAGTAACCATGAGAATCACATAAGGCACCTATGAGAATCATGAAAAATTGTTGTAATTATTTCACACGCCACAGACACACACTGCACACATTTATTCAGCTTTGAGGAAAAGAAAGTATCTTGTTTCTTTATTTGAAAACCGGTAAGTAAGAGTACTTTGCTTTGTCTTGGCTTCCTGGTTTATCTTAAACAAAGAAGAGTCGGTGAAACAGATAACAAAGGAAATTGCTTTGGGGCTCCAGTGTAACCGCTTCAAGAAAACAGTAACGTGGTATTTGTGGCAAAGGAAGGGTTACCAGCTCATTCTTAGACAACTTTTTCTTATTGTGGAATCCGAGGGAGGATGGAAACAATTCATTTTTTTTAGGTCATTTTTTAGGTCTTTTACTTGCATAGCTGAGCAGGTGAAGAGGCTATGGAAATATTTTTTCCTGAAGTCTATAATGAATTTCCTTACCAGTGAATTAAAATGAATAGGTTTCTTACAATAGTTATACCTATTTAAACGCATTACAGTGTTCCTTAATGTTACTGTGATTCATATGGATAAATGGCTTTGTTGTTGTTTCAGGCATTCGTGGTTTCATTAGCTTGGTGATCTTGAGCAGGTCTTTTAATCACTTTGGCCTCAGTTTTTTTCTGTTAAATGACAAGTGAGGTGAGTATAAGATTGCCAAAAGTCTTCTCTAGCTCTAACATTGGATGGTCATACTGTGGGTCTGAAGATCAGGAGCATTCACTAGGTGATGGGTATTGAAAAGACTGATTTTTCAGACTAGGAAGAATGACCTTGTTGTCCAGATTAGGCATCATAGGAAAGATCTTCAGAAATCTTAGCATTGATACCTTTGGCATGCCTATAGCAGCCTCCTCTCCCTATTGCTCTCTCTTTCTCTGTAAACTCTCTGGTCTTATTTGTCCGTCGCTTGCTCTCTCTCTGCCTTTCTTCCACACAAACGTGTGCACAAGAGGTGTGTGCAAACCAGTGCAAGTGGGACATACCCTGATTAGGGAACTCAAGGTCCCCCCTGACCTGTAATGGATTTCAGCTGCAGAACAGAGGGGAACTGCTTAAAAGGCACTCCCTTGCAAATAGTTGGTGAGAACCAGCGGCCACTGGGCAGCCAGCGATAAAATGATCCTAGGTGACCTGAGAGAAGTACCCAGCAGGGGCTGGTTCGGGAAATGAAGTCCCTTCTGCTCTGACACAGAACAGGGAATGCAAGTGACCTGGCCCAACTGAGAGATCTCTTCTATCCCAGTGATCCCTACTATTAATATCTGCCAGCTGCAGGCCCAGAGCATCCCCCTGCTGAGATCAAAAGGACCCCTATCTTGGCTGGAACAAGGTCATCTGCACAGGGCTGTAAACAGGCCGGCTGGCTCAGGGACCTCTGTAGGGGAGGAGAAGTCAGGAGAGGGGAGGTGCTCTCTCACGCTCCTTTAATCTCCCCAGACCAGCTGTTGCCTCCCAGTGTTTGTAAAGTTGAGAGTTCTTTGTTTTTGTGTTGCTTTTTCTCCCTTATTAAATGTGTGGCTAGGTTGTTGCTTAGATTATGTAGACCCATGTCCACTGCTTGGGCCCATTGTATGATTCTCTTCATTGAGGTTTCATTCCCCTGTTGAGTTATCCAGCTCCCAGGTGGGAGAGCCGCAGAGGGAGACGTGGACCCCGAAGGCCAAGGACTTTTCCCAGTGTCACTCCTGCTGCATGGTATTGTGCCTGGAGAAGGATGAGAGGACAAGTTGAATTTTCTCTATTTAGTTAAATAACTTCTATGTGTACCGTGTGCTTATCAGTTTTTAGCCTGCCTTTCACAAATGTTATTTCATTCAGTTGTGAGAATGGAACTTTCCAGACTTATGCAAATCGATCAAAATTATACTGTGAACCTAAGGACAGATGTCAGGATTTTCGTTCTTATAATCTACATTGTTTTCAAGCTGACACTGTGAGTGAAAGTATTTTCTTTCCAGTGTTTCGTTTCATTGACAGAAACTCAGGCATCTAGGTTGTTACAGAGGTCAGTGACTGGCTATTAACTAGGTTATCGTGATGGCTATTGATTAGGTTATTATGTTGGTAACTGACTAGGTTATCGTGACTGTTCTGGCCAAGGACATGTTTCTCAGATGCCCTTGCCAGTTCTTCCTGGTGGTCACCGAAGATACTAAGAATGATTGGATCTTGGTCACAGGGAATGTCCCCTTTGCCCATAGTGATTAGTAAAGAAAGGATCTAGCAGTCCAGCTGGCCTAAGACTCCACATTTTATTCTGAAGTTACCTGAGATTGGACCAGGAGGACTGGCTGGACCCCTGTTCAGCAAGCGCAGTTGGTAGGTGAGATGGACATGCAGTGACAGCAGGGCCTGTGTAAGACTGAAGCTCTGCTCAGCATAGGCTGCTAGCTTTCCCCCCTGATGATTTAATGAGATAGCATTACTTCAGTGTGGCGACACAGCCCACTTCAGCAACCCCAGAGGCTTCGTGGAAAGGAAGCAGCATCAGGCTGCCATCTTGGCATTCCCAGCATCTGGCATGTTAGTATTCTTCTATCCGCAGTCATAGTTTTTGATAGATAATAGCACTTAAAAACGAAAAATGGCCCAGCTGGTGTGGCTCAGTCGTTGAGCATCGACCTATAAACCAGGAGGTCATGGTTTAATTCCTGGTCAGGGCACATGCCTGGGTTTCAGGCTCGATCCCCAGTGTGGGGCGTGCAGGAGGCAGCTGATCAATGATTTTCTCATCGTTGATGTTTCTATCTCTCTCTTCCTCTCCCTTCCTCTCTGAAATCAATCAAAATATATTTAAAACAAAACCTAAAAATGAAAAGTGCATGGATGGGTCGGGGAAAAAACACAAGAGAAAAGGCCGCACTTAATAGAACCAAGAGTGGTTTCTAATTTTTGTACAGGAAGCCTTTTTATTTCAGTTGAATTGATGACTTATTTCATGTGCAAGAGCAAGTATTTTAGGATTCATTCTCCCCAAGAAACCATCCTTGCAAAAAGCTGGAGTCCACTTGAAAGAGTATATGCAAGTACGTGG